ACCACCACCACCACCACCACCACAATTCTGAATGTTTTAGTTCTTAATATTAAGCATAAAGATTGAGAAAAATGTATGGGAAATAATGAGCCTTTTCTGAGTGTTTCAGAAGAAACCCAAGAAACCCCCAATTCTTGATGAGAGTCAGATAACTTACTAATCACTTCATCCATAGAGAACCATGGAAAATCTGTACCACCGTGGAATGTAGAAGGAATCAGCATATGTGAATATCAATTTTATAGAAAGCATTTTATTTACTAACACATAGGCTATGTAATCCTTCTAGGCTACTGTAATCATTAAAATTGCCATTTAAAATTTAAATTCATTAGGTGTGTAACAGGCCTAATTTTGCCAAAAGAAACTAGGCAGTGCTCTAAGATTCATTTCTCCAGAAGAATACTGACAATGCTACTTGGAATTTTTAATAACTGAGGGCAGAACCATGCTGAATAAAGAACCAGAGGGTGTACGGAGCTTTGCCTCGCCAATACTGCAAGGTTAGTATTTTTTAAAACTGTTCTCCTTGAAGCCCAGGGTGGGCAGCCCAGAGGAAGGATGTCAAGTGTGTGGTGTTCTGGCTCTTCTGTCCCCACACCAGTCAGAGCATCACAGCATTCATGTGTTTTATATATTGTGTTCTCATAAGATTTATTCTTTTCTTTTTTGAGGGAGAGGGAGGGAAAGGACATCTGCTACAAAAATATGTATATTTAAAATCATTAATCTTTAATATGCCTTAGTGGTTGAGTGGTAAGAAGCACCTGAATAACTGGCCCTCGGAGGAGGGAATCAGATTTTAGTGTCTTAGCCAGAGTAGGCACTTTCCAGTTCCCTTTTCTTCAATGTTAGTTTCTTAATGTAAATGGAGAAACAAAGAAAAACAGAAGTAGGGAGGTTTGCTTATTTGAGAAAAAAAGACTCATTCTCATTCTAGGTCCATGTCCCACTTAGTGCCACTTAGTCATCTTTGGTCATCTCTTTACCATTATAATACGAGAAATGGTGCCTATTCATCAATAGCAGATTAAATCATAAAGTTGTAAGTGTGCATCATAACTAGAAGAGGTTTATCCATAAGCCCTTCACCAAAAGTAAAATTCACCAACCCATCACCAATAAAAGATAATAATTTCAGAAAAAAGATATTAGTATGTGGAAATTATTCACATGTTGGGTAAAACCTTACTAAAAGGACAGCATGTATTAGTTGAATCAAATGCAATTGCTAATATTTAACTACTCTGACCTACAGAAATATCGATATGGTTCAACTTAATATAACACAGATCAGGAACAAGACAAGGAAAGAAATTCTACCATAATAACCAAGTCACAAAAATAAATGGAAATTACACTGGCAAATAAAAGTATTATTTATCTAAAGTAAATCTAAATTTGCTTGCACTAGAATGACAACCTGTGATGAAAGCCATTCCCATGTCACAAATCAGTCCAATCATAGGCTTCACAGAAAATGTCCCCTGTAATATGAAAGTATGTGTTGTTTCTCTACATAGAGATAAGCAAACCAGATAACAAATGGCCAAATTACCTGAAAAGGAACCATCAACATCAGAGTTGGAATTTCCAACGACAGTAACTTTGGTAACTCCAGGGGACCCAGTCTTAGCGGGGGTCACTGGGATGAGGGTGCTGTATTCCTTTGTGTCTGGGGGATGAGGAGTATAACCCTCCACCGAAGTAGTTGAGTTTTCAGAAAAGTTTCCACTTCTCTTTCCACCTCTGCCATCATTCCTGTCTGTATAGAGGTGCAATCAATGGTAAACTCACATTTCTAAGACCACCACCATTGTGAGCTTGTCTTCAGAATGTGCAATTGCTGCAAAAGTTTTCCACTTTTTATTTGTGAACATGGAGCAAAAGCAGTGTGATTTGTTACACTATTGAACAGAATCAATATTTTGCAATTGACACGACCTGGACATCACTCAACAGAAGAGATTTTGGTGATCCTAATACCCAGAAAAGGCACGCGTTGCAACATCTGCCTGGGTTATTAAAGGTTTATACCACTACAACTGTGACCTTGAAGTCAACTTGGGTACTAGAAAATCTTGAGCTCTCACTCAATTGGACCCACCTTTGATGAAGTGGAGGAAACACACCATTGAATTGAAAGGTAAAATTATGCTGCCTGCAGTTAGAATAGCAAATGCAAGCTTTCAAACACCTGAGGCTTTGATTATTTTTTCCTTTGCCAGAAGGGCACTGCTTCTTGGTCACCAGCACCAGGGATTTGTGTCCAGAGGATAAATGGCAAAATAATATTATTAATGCAAGGAAAATAGAGAGTGATATAATATAGACCTTTACACCAATTATAAATCATATGTAAGCAATCTGTTATTTTTAAATCAAGCCACTAACTCTAGGCTTAATAAACCTGATCTTTAAGATTAAGAAATATAGTTTGTACTTAATGTACAACAACTTCTAAGAGGTCTACAAAGCAGAAAATTCAGAGAACCATCACCAGCCACACCTTCTGATCAGAAGCAAAGGCATAACAGCAGCCAGTTGATGTACCTCCACCAATGACACTGCGAAAACACCCCAAATTTATTGATTTTTATTAATAGCTGAAGCCAGCTGGGCTTTACAATCCTTACTGCTAGATGATGCAGTAGAAGTCATTGCATGGTCTTTATCTTCTTCCAAGCTTCCATGTGATGTAGAGAAGCTCTGAGTATGACTCTGCTCTGTTTCAAGGAGGGATAAATCCAGCATTAATTTTGAGCCATGAAACAAATCCTCTGTTGTCTGCTGACAGGCAGGATCTAGCTAGAGTAGTGTCAGACGGGTAGATGCATAGGAATACCGAGGTTTGCGCACACCGTTCTCTTCTGATTGATAGAAATGTACAACAGAATTCTGCTTTGTCTCTAGTTGTCTCCTAACACCCTTTTCAGTATAATCAACAACAGTAATGCACCAACATGAAGCCTGAGCCAAAACTTTGTCCACCCTGATTCATCCTGGCACAACTGTAGTATTGCTTCCAGTGACTTAGGAAAACCAGAGAATACGGAGGCAGGGAAAAAGGAATGTTTGAATCCCAATGTTCCTATCAACAATCAAGAGCCCCTAGCTGTGTGTCAAGAAGTGTGACTGCAGGGAAAATAAACACTGTGATAGCAAGTGGTTCACTTGTAACCCACAAAAGAGGAAGACGCTCGCCTAGAATAACCTGCTCAAGTAACTCAGACCAAATTTATACAGGGAAATACTTAAGTCCCTTCCAAAGAACGTTCATTGAAAGTTAACACTTGACTCTGTTATTAGGTTTTTGATCTCATCTGTGGATGAGGATTCTCATCATTGCACTGAAATGCCAGGAAACGCTTGCCTGGGCAAACACAGGGCCCTCACTGACATATATCAATTTGAGGTTGAACCATAGCCCATATCTGACATCACTTTGACTGTTTTGAGCTGATTCTTTTGTGTTCTTCTAAGGTACTGACCTCCAAGTTACAGGTGCAAGCACCCCATAAAGCACACCCATAAGCCATGCCCACCACCAAGCAACCATTACAACCAGGAGAGAGACATTCACCAACTCCCAAACCCAACATCAGAACATAAGTCAACAGGGATGTAAAACGGAAATATGAGACCTTCCATTGGCAGGGACCACTCTTAGGCTTATCTGCATCTCCTTTGATGCTTAATTCTGTGCTATTTAAATTGTTAATGATCAACACATGCTTGCTGATTTTTTCCTTTGCCTAAAAGGGCACACATGAAGGACTCTGCCTGTTATGTGTAGCAAGCAGTGAAATGAGACCCTTTTAATTCTGTATTTCTTTCATATTCTGTCAAGAAAATACGAATGACTTCAGGCTGATCTCTAGGATAGCTCTGTACATATAGTGGACACTAAGGCTACTAGAAATTTAGCATTGCTTCTACCAGATGTTTAGTGACAGGAAGAGATATTAGCAAATGTTTCTCTTTTGTTCCTGGGCCCTGACACCTTTATCAATTGTAGACAACGTGCCTTGCCCCTCCTCTGTGGGTTGATGCAATTTCCCTACTCTTATGATTATTTGGCCCAAAAATATCTTTTCACAACCATTAAAGCAATCCTACCCTTCTTCTACCTTGATTGGAGTAAGATGGGAATAAAAAGGAGATGGCCAGTTAAACATAAAGAAACTACTGTCCTAGCTGTGGTCTTGGGTTTCAAGGACATAACTACTCAGGGAAGGAAAAATCAAGTGGAATGGAGTCCCATATCCTTTTTTTTTTTTCCTTAACCCAAAGTTATTGGATCCAGAAAGCACCAAGAATGAAGGCAAAATAAGATTTAAAGAACCCCACCAAGAAAATATAGACAGCTAATGAAGACAGCTTTTACATTCTGGGCTGAGCTGAGCCACAAAGCACTAAATGCGCCATTCCACCAGCAAGCTCTGCGTCTGGGCCAATGTGAGCAAGAGCTGAAGCAGGAATACAGGTCAATAAAGGGGCTGAGCGTCATTATCCTTACGAGTGGTCATTGGAAGAGGTCCTGTCCTGTCCAAGTCTTCCACCAAACCTGTGTTTGGATCTGCAGAAGGCTGAAGCGTTGTACTGTGGCTGGAGTCAGTATCTGAAGGAATTCAATCAGTGTTATTGCTTGACTTCCTAAACCACTACCTGAGCATGGTTTATGTCTAGAGCCAAATTATTCTTATATTGAAACTTGAATAAGAGGAAAGAAAACACATACATCACGAGAAGTAACTGGCTTTCATTTAAGGGCTGAGTTGTATGAAAGCTATGATATTTGTTTGTTTTGGCTGAGTCTGGAAGGACTCTAAATGAGCACATGATGTGCCTCCCAAGCTTTGCACAGAGACAGAACATAACCCACGTGTGACTTGTCCCATTCCATACACACTGCCTTGCTTATAGACACATGTGATCTGACACATGGAGAAAAGACAAAGCACACTGGTTCAGGCACCATTTTGTCAAATCCTTCTTACTCGGCAAAAGGACATTTTTTTACAGCCCTCTTCCCTCGTTTGGTCCTCTTTTGCTTCAAAAAGTGAACATGCAAATAAAACATAAAATCATCATCCAACACTACCTAGGTAGAGGCCATGGGAAGCATTCAGGGGCAAGAAATAAGAAGCAGTGGGTGTCAGTGAATTATTCTTCCTGTAAACACAAGTATGAGGTGTCTTTGGAATTTAACATGTGCAATATTGGGTGGTACAGAAATTTCACTGAAATATTTAGAAATGCTGTTTCTAATAATTATTACAAATCAAGTCTGCTGAAATTAGTCCTGAGTGAAGTAGAGGCCAAGCAATCCATAAACACCATCACTGTTGCTGGCTCTCCAATTAGAAGTCCATCCACACTTCTGCCTCTGGAGAGATGTAATCAGTTCCAGCTGATTCCAGAGGGAAACACTGGAATATTGGGCACCCACATCTACACTGCAGGCTTTACGTACAAGAAGAAAAGAGAACCAAGATCTTGGCAGGACAAAACGTGGCTGACTGTATTATCCCAGATTTCAAAAAAGAGGAAAGGCTAGCTAACCCAAATCAAAACCCCAAATGGATATTCTCCCAGAAAAAGTCCTGCCTGTTGATGGTTTCTAGACATTCTTGTTCATCTTCCTCTTTTTCTTTTAAATTTTGTTTATTTATTTATGTGTGTGTGTGTGTGTGTGTGTGTGTGTGTGAGGAAGATCAGCCCTGAGCTAACATCCGATGCCAATCCTCCTCTTTTTTGCTGAGGAAGGTTGGCCCTGAGCTAACATCTGTGCCCATCTTCCTCCACTTTATATGGGATGCTGCCACAGCATGGCTTTGACAAGTGGTGCGTCGGTGCCCGCCCAGGATTGAACCTGCGAACCCTGGGTCGCTGAAGCAGAGCATGCGCACTTAACCTCTTGTGCCACTGGGCTGGCCCCACACCTTCTCTTTTATAAGTAGAATCCTTCAAGAGGTATCACACCATTCCATGGTTGAAGCCAATTGTATTGTCCTTGATGTGTTCATCAATTTAATGGAATCTCATCAGTTCATCAGTATGGGGACTTAATATTGATTCTGAAGCTATTTTACTGGCTTGGTTTTCCACCATGGATATCATCAGAGCCTTCAGCAACCATGTGCATAAACATGCATACTGGGGCTGCATGTGGCACTTCAGCCACGCAACATAACGGCTCCAACCCAGCCATTCAAACTCATCTTCCTTTAGGACAAAAGAGAGCCACTCACTCTGACAAACTCATTCCTTGGCTTTCCTTCCTTTGTGCCTCTCCTTACGTGAGTCTCCCTTCTGGAAAAACTTTCCCTGATTTTTTTTCTCTAACTACCCAGGTTTTTTCCCATGTTTCAAAAACCGGATCTAATCCACTTTTCTCTGATGCTCTCTGGAGGGTCCTCTGAATTTCTTTGGTGTTTATTGTTGGCAACATTCATTTGACATCTATTACTTACTGTCTCGTATTGTTAGATATATTTTGATGCTAAATGTTTACTTTTCTTAGCTAAATTTTAAGTTCCTTAAGAGCATGGACCATGAATTGTACATTGTTCTGTCTCCATAATGCCTTGCACATAAGCAGATATTTAATACAATTGTAGTTTGAGGGATATCTGATCACTAATATTTGAGTATGACACAGTTAGGATGTTCTAAAGAAATGAAACCATCAAAAATTCTGGATTCACCTTGGAGATAACTTTTTTCAATTCAATACCAAGAGATATCATCATTGTGCTGTTAAAACTCATTTCAATAAGGATCATGTTACACAGACCCTTGGCAGTTTGGATCCAGATTATGTAGTTTATGCTATGACTGAAAATTCACATCCCCATATTGGTTCTTTTGGTTTGTCTCCCTTTTTGGAATATTACATTTCTGTGACCAAGACATCTTGTTCAAAGAAAACCAAACCTGCGTAACTATTCATGGGTATAGTAAGAAACATGGATTCTTCAACTTGGTAAAGACTGAGAAAAGAGGGGTACCTCCTACTACCAACTCTTCAGATTCTCTAAGGAAAATTGTCTTCTGTTCTGGAAGAGGGAGAATTCTTTTTAAATATAAAAATTGGTCAAATAAAATCACAATCTTCCATTCTTGCAAAACTACAACTAGTATCTTTTTACTCTCTCTTGTTTAACTGTTTTTGAATTGCTTATAGACAAATAAGAATGACATTTAAGAAAATAGGGATTCCACCTGTGTAAAAGTTGTCCATTCTTTAAATTCACAAACATTTACTGAGGCCCACGAGTGATCTAAATCCTAATTCACTGGGTACCGTATTTATTTCTAAATGTGGCAAGAGTAAGTAATAAAGTTTTCTGAGCTTTTTACTTACTCGTTTGGAATGAGTACTCACAAATTTTTGACCTCTAAGATTTCTCTACCAAAGATGAGTTATATCTTTGGGTCTACAATGGAAACAGTCATGGAATAGAATCCGTCACTTCACTCTTTTAAAAACCCTGCCCTTAGAAGCAAATGGAAAAGAAATCTTGAGACTGCTCCTTCTTTGGAGGAAATGACTTCCACTTCATCTTAGAACTAATTCTTCTTTAACCCTCCTGCCAAATTCTCCCCTCACAGCCCAGGGCTTCATATTTAGATGAATGTACATATCACTTCTACCAAGAAAACTAACTTTGAAGAAACTTCAAGTTCCTTAGGAAAGAAGACTGGTTTAAAACCAAAGGCATATTTCTAGGAAAATAGCCATTTGGTGGCTTTCAAAAACACAACATATAAAGAAGCTCAGAGGCTATTACCCATCCATCTTTCCGTTTGATGACCTTGTCCCATTGGATGTGAGATTGGGTCGAAGAAGTAAGTCCAGGAACTGTCCTCTTGACTCTGCGTTGTCATTCTTTGATCTGGATGGCTGTCATGGGCTGGGGCTGTTGTGACCATGCAGTTCAAGCAATTGTCAAAGTGTTAGTGGACATTTGGCCAGGGATATACCCACTTTTCAAAAAGACTTTATTATCTAGACAAGACAATGAAACCATCTTCTTGGTATAGAGGGCCAGGAAGTTGCATAAACGCAGAATGTTTTAGCACGTATGGGTTCACTCATGCTCATTTTCTTAGCAATCAGCATGTGAACTAGAGGACACAAAAGCATTAATGACTTTTTCAGTGGATAGAAGATGAGTTATAGACATCAAGTGAAGATGAAGGAGAAGTAGTTCTTGACCCATGCCATGTTGCCACTGTCCCCAAAAGAAGGAAGTGTAAGAGTCCAAGCACATGATGTCATTCTGAAACAACCACATCCCACTGAAATGCACATTAGGCTGATGGTGATTTAGAGAAGAAATCAGATAATAGCTTCCCATGAGATAAACATGAAAGTAAATGCCATTCATCTCAGAAGCATGAATGGAATCCATTAGCAGCATTACCTTCTAACAATGGGATTTATGGCATAAGTGACATATAAGAATGCAGCACATGCTTTTGCTTCATTCCGAGCCAATGGAGAAATATAGGTGGAAAAGATTACAACAGTGGCCCCTTAGCAACAACCACACCACATAGCCAGTCACTGAATCCATTGCTCTTGCCAGGAATGCATTCAGAAGTTGCCACATGCTAGAAGGGCATTACGCATTATATTCTATATTGGAAATGGAAATATGGGAATATTTCTCACTGATACCAAATGAGAATATGCAATTCACATTCTTTTACAAGGCAACATGCATCTCAATGTTTCTGTCACACAGACAAAAGAATCATGGATAGAAGCTTGCAAAGCCAAGTTATCTGGTATCACTTAGAGAAGATGACAAGACTTGCGTCCAATTTCCACAATCCCACAATTTAGTTTTTTTTAAATATAAAAAACAATTGTACATTCAAGGAGAAATCACCAAACAGACATGACAAAAGGGCCAAATGACATCAGACAGGTATTTTTCTCAAAATGTCTGGCTCTAGTTCTTGAAACACTGGGGTTCTGACAAAATGCTTTCTAACAAGCCCAATATTTCATAGAACCATGTTGTAAAGTCTGGACCTACATTACAGAATAGATTCCTTTACAAAACAAAAGAGAGTATTTTATAAGATCAGAGTCTCTGCACAGTCTCACTAGGGGATGCCCAAAACTCGATGTGAGAGTGACGCACTCCAGGGCGTGTTCTAGTCTCCGTGTCTCCTTCATGTGCGTATATCTATTCCTGTCCAGGTGGTTTGCTATGAGCATTTAAGGGTTGGCTGTGTGTTGACTGCATTATAATTTATTAAGGAACCTTAACATCTTGTGACAATTCCTTCAATGTCTTTTTGTTCGCTGTCCTCAACGCCCAACATGGAACCCAAGGGGAAGTTTCCACCCACATTTGCTTTTCAAACCATTACCAGTTGTCCCTGCTGTTGAGGGAGAGTCTTCCTTTGGCGTTTGGGGGTGTTCCCCATGCCATCCATTCTCAAACCACTGCTCTTTCTGGGTAGCTGTGTCTTCTGCTGTACTACTAGTGATTGCCCGGGCTGTGAGAAGAATGTCAATTGTGAGCCATTATTGTTCAATTTCCTCACCAACACATATCTCTCTACTTTGAGGGCATACACATGTGGGAGCGAAGGTAGAAAAGAAAAGCAGCAAGGAGATATTCTGAAAGGGATCTTAGAAATCAAGTGGCCCAAAGAAGTTTTGATTTACTTAAAATCATATAGCCAGATTGGCACAAAGTTAGGACTAGACCACAGTCTGTGAATCCTCAGTATTATTCTTATTTTACTATCGTTTATGGCCTATATCCTGCGTGAGAGAACTGTTTGTTCAAAGAATTAACCTCTTTGCTCTGGTGGTTTTCGGGGGAAGGAACATATTATATAACAATTTATGACAGGATAAGCGTGGTAGGAGGCCTTCTCAAATGGTGGTCATGTCAGCCATACCCACACGCACTGGAAATGCACCAGGAGGGGATCTGCCCAGCATGAAAGACATTGGGAACGCCTAGGATGCTACTTCACTGACACATATGACGTTATGTCTATGTGGCATCTAAAATTGCCAAAATTACTTTTTAACAAAATTAATCCAGTGGAAGAAAAACTATCCTAGCCAGTGTTTGGCATTATATAAGCAATAGCAATGTGTGACAGGCTTAAAATTTCAGCCACTCCGGGTTGTAATTGCCCAGTTTTAAAAAGGACAAAATGAATGGAATAAAATTGTATCAGAGTTATATCTGGGAAAAATCAGAAAGCCACTGACATTTTCATCTATAGCAACTAAGAGCAGATTTTTAGTTCATCAAGAAAACAAGAGCCTATAAACTTGCCGAACTGAAGTATATTTTGCAACTTGTAATATTGGTTGTATTTTACTATTTTAGAAAATGATATGTGTGATTTGAGAATAGCAAAGACATTTGAAAAATAAAACTTATTTTCCTTGTTTTACCCTTGCATTGGCCAAAACACTCCTGGGGTTAATTGGTTATCCAGAGGGAGGAAAAAAAACCCCAAATCTTAAGTGTTACCTCCCACTGACTAAATCACTACCTCTTGACAAATAATGAAGTTAGAAAAACCATTGATTATAATTACAAAAAAAGAAAAACTAATCCAAACATAGACTGCCTATTCAAAGTCTAAAAAAAAGAAGAGAAATACATGCACACACACACATGCTTGCAAGCACACACTACTCTATACTCCTTCTATCACTACCTATACAAACGCAATTATCCTTTCAATATCCAGTAACCTCCTGCTGCTTTCAACATATGAATTAGCAGAGTATAGGATTTCCCTTGTAAAATATGAAGGTTGACTCTCTTCTGCAAGTTGTAATGCTCTTTTGATAAGGCCCGGAGGTCACCAACCAGAACCCTTTGTGTTTTGCAACTACTAAGGAGAGAACTGCCGCAGCTCATATGCCTCCTTCCCTCTTTTAGGTGCTGTCATGTCTAGTTTTTCAACTACCCTCCAGTAATGATGTCCCTCCCCTACCACCTTTTGACAACAGGCTTACTAATTCTAAGCCTCTTAAGTAACTTTCTGCTTTTTAAGTACAAATTATCTTAAATCACATCAGAGTTATACTGTTAGGACACAAAGGGCTTGGTATGGAATCCCATGCTGAAGAAACTTTTGCTTCTCATTTCCTTCTTCTCGCAGAAGACTCTTTTTTTTTTTTTAACTCAGCCCATAATCCTCATGCGTTATCAGATCTATTGGGGTAAATAATGAAATGTAAGCCTGTTGGACAAATTCAGTACAAAGCCCAGGACTTAATAGCTGATGTCTGAAATGTTTCTTTTGTTGTCTGAAGACATTCCTCAACCCATGGATTCCCAAACCCCTTTGGCTTCTCCTTTTGGCTTCTAACTAGCTATTTCTTACATTTTTCCTTTAGGAGTATCCAAGACTATGAGAATGATGGTTGAACCATAGTTTTAAAAATGCTATAAGCTGTTATCCTAAATTAAGCCTTTTTAAATTCCAAACGTGATAGGCGTCTCTCCAAGAGACAAATGATAGAAGAAGAGTATATATTTCTTACTTTCTTTGTGTCCTATCCTCATAGCCCAGTAGTGAGACTTGAGATTGTTTTAGAAAACCTGAGATGTTTGCACATAAGTGGAAATAACAGCATCAAAGCCTTCCCCAAGTTACCCTGGGCTCAAAAACAGAAAAAGACCATAGAATTCAAATACAGACCATCTGAGCTATTGACTGTCCTCCAAAAACTACAAGGGATGCCTTTGTACAATGCAGTGAGGAACAGAATGTGAGAAAGAAATTGGATTCATCAAAGATCTTCATAGAACATAAAAATTCCAAAGATCGCTGCATTTGTCAAGCTTTCTTTCCAGATCCCACTACTAAGCGCCAAAAGAACCCACTCTTCATCATACATTTCCATAAACACACTCAAATCACCCAAATGGAACCTCTAGGAATCTTTGACACAAAAATGTATCTCAGATCTTTGTAAACATTTTATCTTTTTAAACATTTTTGCCTTTTGGGCAACCTGACAAATAAGCATTTTTCTTTCAATTTCTAAAAATTGCGCACAGATTTGGCGGCTTTTTGTGCTGGAGGGATAAAAGAAATTACTGTGTGGAAATAGAAGATGTGGCCAATGTCTAAAAAAAAGTCTTCCCTGTTCTTTAGAATGCCTTCACTAACTCTAAACCAGAACTACTGACTGCCATCCTTCTTACTTGTGCTTCTGGAATGCTGGGTCTCCTCTTCGTCATGATGCTCTTGGTGAATGAGAGGAGAGTGTGGTTCCTGGCTCCAATTTTCTCCATAAGCACTGGTGCCACTTCTGTCCACATCTGTCGTGATGATGGTTATATACACTGTGACTTTTTATCAACCAACCTTTGATGGTTCTATTCTTCCATTAAAGTACATGCTATTTAATGGTTCTATGCCTAAATAGTACCTCTGAGCATCTTCTCTCAATACTTTTGAGTGACTTCACTAATCTCTCTCAAAAGAAAACCAATAGGCACGGAATTTTTAAATGATTACCTGTTATTCTACTATAACCACTTTGTCAAGGGCAGCACCATAATGTATTCATTTTTATAATGAAGCAACATAAAGTATCTTATGTCCAGATGGTATGATTGATAAATGACTCCTAAGTCACATTGAGTATTCTCACAAAAGTTCACTAAGAATTTGTGATGAGATATTAACTAAATTTCCCACTGTGTTCTGATGAGTGACCTTTGCAGCATCATAGGCTTCAAGGAAAAAAATCTTTAATTAAGTGTGCATAACCCATTACCAGTCATCCTTGTGGTTGTCTGAAGTGATCTGTCTGGATTCAAATGGACAGGGTACCGCTGCAGCCAATCATGATTCTCTTCTGGGGATCTAAAAATCCGTGGCGTGGTTGGAACTGTGATAATGATGATTGAAGTAATTAGGAAAATGTTATTTCTCAAGCCTTCATCACTTGTTTTGCACATTTCTCCCTTCTTTAGTTTATAGAGTGAATCATCTATAACAGGTTGTATAGATGGTTGAGTGGAAAGGGAGGGAAAGCAGAAAGTGCCTTCAGCTTGATTCAGCCGTAGGGTTAAGCATCTCAGTGTCCTTTGCATTCTGTCATAGAATACGTTGGGGTCAGAACATGAGAACTTTCGGAGACAGCAGCCAAAGAAGCTGCAGCAGGAAGAAGAACAGCTGTGAAAAAACACCAGCCCTCCACCGAGGATAACCAAGGACGCCGGAGCTTTGCCCGTCCATGCAGTCTGTAAAGGCCCTCTGCACTTGAAAGCCCAAGGAATTTGTATCGCTGGCAAGTATGCTATATGTGGATCTTCAGGCTGCAGAGGGAGATACTTGAAATTTATACTATGATGATCACTTTCTTTCGTTAGTAGTTTTGGTGGGGAAACAAACACCTTGAGCAGCCAGATGCTCAAGGTGAATGAGAGGAGAGTGTGATTCCTGAGTCTTTCCCATAGGTGATTCTAAGAAGGAATATCTACCCAGAACAGCCATATGATTTAGCTCTACATTTCTGAATATTTATCAAACACCTATGGTATTCCCATCAAATACAAAGCATTTCACGAGCAAGCCACTCATAGCCAATGAAAGCAAAACAAGACACATACATTCAGTAGAAAAACACCATAGGTAACCAACCACCATCACAGCAGCTCCCTGGAAAAAAAAGAGGCATACATCCACCAGTGCCCTGATGCTGTCACCCAAAATGAGAGGGCTGGAATGGGAGATGCACCTGACAGAGGGATCATGACAAAATCAGAATCAATATCATTTGTGAAAAGGTTATTTGCAAATCCATCCTAATTCTTTCAAACTTTATTTTGATACCCAAATAATAGAAAACTCTTTTCAGAACTGTAATACTATCAGCTCTATTTCACAAGTTAAGAAAACCAGGTTTAGAATCCTGAGCCATGTTCTCAGTAAGCATTAAAAAGTGGCAGTTGTCATACCCCTACAGAAGAAAGAGGGCATCCTCCTGAATTATGTGCATAGGTGCCAAGCAGAAAAGTGAACTGAAACTGGAAAATATGACACAGAGATTAAAAATGCCAAGGGAAGTTTTCCCTGGAGCTTGATCATACGAATCATTTTCAAGTTAATCTGTTTGGGTTGCCACCCAACAGAGTTTAGTTTCTTGAGTATCAAGACCACATCTTTACTGATGGCCCCGCCTGGAAGATGGGGCCACATCCTGAACCCAGGAGATGGTGTAACAGTAAAGCTCCAGTGTTTTTGGTTATTTGGTTTTCTTTCTGAAGTTAATAAAAAGAGTTTCCTTTTTCTATAGACTGATCTTTTCTGAGGTGTCCAGACTAAGAAATACACCACTTAAAAATTTAGATATAAAGCATCTAGTTCATCTCAAGTGTTTGTTGTCTAAATGCCATATACTCAGATGCCTTCAAGATCTAAGCTATTTTTTGGACACTTCCCACCTCCCTGGGTGGGATAAAACTCTCAGGTTTCAATGGGACGGACAGACTTGAGTGACCCGAGAGAGCTCATGTAGCACCCCAAAGGTGCACCTCCTCTAAGGAAAAGCAGAGTTGTGATGGAGTCACATCTATGAGGTTCAGGATTCTCATCTCTGTTCAGCAATATCGTAGGTCATTACAGGTATTTATAGGAAATTCAGTCATCCAGCAGACTATTAGGCCAATCTTTGCATGTTTTTTTTTAAGGACATTTTTCAGCTCAATTTCCATCTTTGTTCTCAAAAAGTTTTATAATTGTCACAAATTCAGATATTATTGTGCAGTGCTTTCACTATTTGTTTTTAATAATTGGCACTGTTTTGTTAAAGCTCAGCTGAGATTTGTCCTTCCCTTCAATGTCTTTCCGTTACATTGATGCCCAATTTGTTTTGTTATAACTCTGGATTCGTTCCCTTGACCTCAACCAGGTTTTGATTAAGTAAGACAATTCTTGAGTTCTGGTTCCCATCTTTTAAGCATTTCTAGGGTCTTCTAAGTCTTCAATGTAGGATCATCTATAACTTTTAATTAATACCCTCCCAAGCATGTTCTCCAAGTCTATTGCTTCAATACACCATGAGTTCCCTGAAGACAAGGGCTCTGGCTTTTTTCATCTTTGCGTTCCCAGCACCTAGCACAGTAGGAACACAATGCTTATTTGTTGTAGTGTTTTACTATGCCCTTCTATGACAAAGCTCAATAATTAAAAGGGAATCTGTGGCAGCAGATCATATAAATAAACAAAACCAGAAGAACATGAGGCATTAGAAATTTTATAAAAGATATTTTTCCTATTTCTCTTCCAAATATGTTTTGGCTTCCATTCAAAAAATTATATTTCTTCCTTCATAATCTCATCAAGGTATAACTAAGGTATGATCATAGGCTCATGCTCATTTTTCATATTAACTATTTCCCAAGATCGATACTATTGGGCATCACTCAGCTTAATCGGTAAACCTTGCATAAATGATTCCACTGTAATTGATTATTCTTACTGGTGCTGGAGATAAAATCTTCATCATCATCAATGCCTGATCCAGAATAACTGGGGTGTTTGTCTCTTTCATCTTCATTTTCTTCAGTTGGCTCCCAGCCTGCTGAGATGATATTTGAATCCGTACCTGTTGTGGTGACTCATGTTAGTGGCTGAGCCGGATGTCAAGCAACCCATTTGACAAAGGAATAAAATCAGGCACAGGGTGCATAATGGAATTCCCCAGATTATAAGAAGAAAGCAAGACATTTGACTTGTATACCACAAATCCTTATATCCTGGTCTCTGAAGCTAGTACATAGATCTAAAAACAATAGGCCATGATTTTTATAACTGAACATTCTCTTCCAGGAAGTTAAAACAATAAATATGGACATAACCCCACCAAAGTAGTAAAAGAAAAAAAGGCCAGTGAACACCCCCCATGCTTTCAGATGCATTTATTGTTGACTTACTAAGCGTACACCATTAAAGCTAGGATGTCAAGAATAGGTTTCACATGTGCCTATTTGTTGTGTCAAGCCACCTTCAGAAAAACCTTGGAATCTAAACACATGTCGATCATTTCTAAAATTCCATAGTTGAATTCATAATTTAATAATTCACTTTTTGATCTTCTCTAGCATCCAATTGTTGTAGCTCTGAACGCAAATGAAAGCTACACTGCTGTTCCCAACAATACTTTAGCACAGAGCAAAAAAAGTTAGTCGGTTAACAGAGAAATCATGCTTGGCATTTATTAATCAATCAGAAGTGTTGACTAAAGTGGACTGTAGCCAAGATTTTGAGAAATGCTCACTTTTTCCCTTTTGGATGCAATCATAGGAAAGGAGATGGAAATCCTCCAGCTCTTCTCAGTGGTTACTGCAGAAGATGTCTCTTTACTGAAAAGGGGTTTTCTACATTTTGAGTGAGATTCACGATCTTTTGGAATGACCATTTGTCTTTTCATACTATTAATGTCTACCCCAAGAATAGTTCCAGTGATGGAGATTTTCTATATTTTGTTATCTCTAGCTCTGTTATTTTATTTTCTCATGAAAAGTCAAGAACTTTTTATGACTTTGGTCATTTTAGAGTATCTTTCAGAGTCAAAAGTTTGTCCTGTCATCCAGAAAGACCTGGCTCCTTTTCACAGCTCCTCCAGGGTTATATTAATTCCATAGAGTAGAAAGAAGAAATCTACTTATTAGTGCTATAAAATCAAACACACAGATCTCAAAGTCATTTTGTCATCAAAGCTATCAAAATCTTTTGTGAAACCAGAATGGACTTGACTTTGACAACATCCCAGAGGTCAATGAGGATTATTGAAGAGTGTCAAAAAAACATATGGAATGAGATAATCACAATTCATTAACAGCCATTTTCATTGTTGTGTGAAGATAATTCTTGGACTATGATGGTTGAAAACACCATGCAAACCAATCCTGGGCTTCTTGCCTGTTGGTTGCTGTTTTGGGAGTTATACCACTAGTGCTCATCAAAGCCATTGTAACCATAATTGAATTGATTGCTGAAAGGTTAATTATCAGTTCCTAAGAAATAACGTTGTATATGCTTTAACTCCTTTACTATCCAAAAGAATTATCTGTAGTTGATACAGATGGCAGAAAGAAAAGGAAAAAGCGTAGAAGCTCCATTTCCTTCAGGGGCCAAAAAGGAGTCCATAGAATGTCAAAGATGGAAGGACCTTAAATATCAACTGGTTCATGCTCCTCATCTTATAGATGAAAAAATTGTGCTGGACAGACCTTGACTTGTTTAAAGTCAGAAAGCTAAATAACAGAGAGGTATCGAGAGAACATGAGAGCAGTCTTTGAATTTTAAAAGGCTATAACATAAGAGAGAGATTAAATTTTTGTCTGTGCTCCCAAAAGGCCAAACTAGGACCTGTGGTGTGAATTTCAGGGAAATGAATATTCTTCCAAATATTTAATTTAAAAAGGTAATAATCTGAGCTATCCAACAATGAGCTTCTTCATAAAGTATTATGTTCCCCACCATCAGAAAGATCTCTTAGCAGGAAAGTTGTGCAAGAGATTAAATGATTACAAGCATTGATTGAACTAGACCATCAAAGATCTTCTCCAAATCTAAGTCTATGATTCCAAAACCTAGCTCTTCAGAATCCTAGCCCTTCATCTTCTACACACTCTATCTTGGCCAACCAATATCATTCTCCAAGAATTTAGGATATGACATTTCTGCCGGGAATCCCAGACACATAATCCCAGCTATCCCCAAAACATGGGAGAATGACACAGGAAGCAGAAGACTAAAAAAAGATGCCTTTCCACTTTTCTTCACTTAGAATCCAAATTCTCTAGCAACCTTGCTCGTAGTCACTTTTTATATAAACACTATATTTTGCAAAGCAGAACAGGACATTTTGAGTCTAGTTTTTGAAAATAGGATAATCAATCAGGAAAGACAGACAGAGATACAGTGACCCTATAGTCTCAGTAATAAGACCAGAAGCAAGAGTCCTGATTTGAGGACTTCCAAAGACTGCCATTTCTGCAACTGTGACGCGCATCAGAAGAATATTAGATATTATTAGGTGAAAAACTGAAAAAAAGTTCAGAGAGGCTGGAACCATCTTTAAATTCCCCAATACAAAGGTAAGGTGAGTTAGATATTTTTTTCAGCTATCAAGAAAGCCCAGAAATGACCCAAGATGAAACACCAACAAGACCATTTCCTTCACAATGTTTGTGCTATGAAGATAAACAATGTAAACATTTAAAAATAGCATATCTGTTATTCTGCACTCTCTCTCTCTCTCCAGAATTATCTTAATCACTATGATATGCAATCATAACATCAGCACTATTTTTATTACTTTTCTAATAGACTTCTTTCTAGAGGACATGTTCTGAGTGAATCTCCTAATTGAAGTCTCTGAAAGAAAAATAACTCTAATTCTATGTGCCTATTGCCAAAAGGAAAACAAGTAGGATATTTAGGAGTATCCAGTCATATGCCCAGATCCATGGGCCTCTCTGATAAATGAAATGGTACTAGACCTTGTTCTCACTGAGGATGCTGACGGAGCATCAATAGAAAACTTCAGCATGATAACGGTCGCCCTTTTCCTTAACACTGAAAGACTTGGCATTCAGGACAACGAGTAAACAAAAGGCATCACAGTTTACCTGTCACTGCTGTTGTTGTCCGATCTGGAGTCTTAGGCTGTGAATTACCAAACCAGGACCATATCCAATTATTTTGCACGTGAGCTGCTGCATGGCTGTTTGAGTGCACAGTTGAAGTAACTGGATCAATTATGAAATTATCATTCAGTAAGATCTTTCTACAAACCCTTTACTCTCAGTTCTGTCTATGTATTCTGTCTGTATCTATTATAGAATGAAGATCAGAAAAAACCAAGGCCTGATTTTATCTTTCCAGTCTCCTAAAGTCTCTTAGAACCTTAGGATAGCATCAGAAATGCAAATTCTATATGGGTATCAGTTAAGTGCGGCTCATTCTTCAGACTGAACCCCCTGAATACAGGCTCAGAGCAAAATCAAGTAGCAACTTAATAACCTGTGATGGAAAAGAGATTTTATATCTACTTGACTGGATGACCCCGCCATGAAATGAAGGTCTTTGATGTAGCATTTCCTAAAGTTGCTTTCATTAATTTATTTTTGGAGCATCTTTAGAGGTGCTTGCCTGTATCCTTTGGGTCTACCATTTTATCTGGGTAGCTTGTGATGACAATCAGCATTTCAAACCTCCACCCATACTTGTTAACTTCAAGTCAAGCTTTACACTTGAGCAGGAACTTTGCAAAGGGCGTGTGTTCAAAGTGTTGAAATCAGATCAAGCTTTCTCAAGTATCCACCTATCACTTTCTGTCACTTTTAATTCTAACTCAGAATGTGTTTCCAGAAAAGAAACACAACTGCCCAAGTTAGAGAAATTCTGGACTCTGTTCAAATTAGAGAAAGGACAATCAGTAAGATTTTACAATTTGAAATCACTCATTTGATTCTCAAGTTGGACTTGAGTCCAGAATGTTTCCCTGTAGAAGAACAGCAAAGATCATCAAGATAAACATCTAAACAGTTGAGATTTTTATAAACCATTTTGAGTCATACACCTCTTTCAAAATCGGACATGTTACAGCTTCTCTCCTCAAAAAAGTGATCCCACACATACACGCTCTCAAAATTTTGCATATTATTTCAGGTGGCTCTTGACTACCTTATGGTCTATCATTGAACCTACTGGAAGTCCACACACTCCAGGTTAAAAACTTAGACTCTATACACATCCAACGTCAACAACCCGCACAAGACGTTCCATGCGACAAAGGACACATTTGCACAGAATAGAAAGTAGAGAGATAGGAGCCAATTTCACCAGTGACAGCCCCAGATAAACCCGAGCAGCCCCTGGAAAATTCACAGCACTCCGTTCTCACCTCAGAAACTTTATTATAAAGATACATAGCTCCTGCCACCCTTACCCTATAGTACATCAGGAAGAGACCAACAAGAAGCAAACATACAAGAAAGAGCAAGAGAGAAATTTGTATTATTTCTGTCTTCCTGAAACGAGTTATATGAGATTCTGGGAAAATGGAAAAAGCTACTGCCTAGCCAGCAGTTTCCAATTTTCCCCATCCAAGTAGGCCATGCCAGACCTATATATATATATATATTTTTTTTTTTTTTTTTAAATAATATGTATGTTTCTTTGACACCCAGAAGACAAGCAAGTAGAGCATTCCAAGGCAGGAGTCTGCTTCCTGAATTAGTTTAGGTTTCTGGATTCCAAAGAATTCCAAATCACCAATAGAAAAGAGGCTGATGACACGCCTCCAGGAAGGCTCTTCCAAAAACAGCATTTATAATAAAAAGTCTGCGGGAAGTCAAAACCTCCCCAGATGGTTGTTCTTACTGGCTTTCCCTATCGCCACCCACTAAGGACCCTTAAGGAAGGAATGTGCCAGCTGAGCCAAAGACAGGCTTGTATGTACTCAGCCAGCCCTCCTCTTGACCTCTGCCCTCCTGTGCGCCTTAGGGAGGATTTGCAATCACCCCGTCTTGCTGAGTCCCAACTCTCAGTCCAACAGTCCTGAAGTTTCGGGTATCTCCTCACTGGCCTTAGAACATCTAGTCTCTTCAGGAACTTATCAATTGTAACATTTTCTAGTATGCCATAGGCTACTTTCAAGTTTCCATCTGCTTGCTTTCTTTGACACCCTTCTGCACATGAATTGATGAATTTGGAGCTGCAACGGGCCTTACTGGATCCTACAGCACTTCAATGACCCTCAGGTTAGCCCTGGACTCATTTTGCTGGACAAATGAGTCTCTCTTTTCCTAAACCACCAAAAGAAACTCAGCTAAGTACTCTGAAAGAGGAACGCACAATTCTTTTCTCAACCCAAGTCCTGAACTATGTTTTAATTAAGTCTCATAGCATTCCTTTTTCCCCTTGATTTCTGAACGGCATACAGGCTCTGTGAACACGGGTCCAACTCTGAGTCCTCAGCAACCAGAGCAACATCTGGCACAGAGAAGAGCTCAAATATTGCTTGAATGAATGACTAGCTTACTTCTCTTCAATATTACTTCTAATGGTGTTACCACTGGATCCCAAGCCTTCAAATAGGCTGGTACATAGCAGGTCCTCAAAACACCTTTACTGATTAACTTAGGCAGGAAAGGTGTAGCCCTTAAAAGATGTGCTAGGAATATTCATAAAATGTGCCAATTGCCTTTTCTAAAGCACATGTGAGATACTCATTATTTAATATAGGCTATTAGCAGCTTGAATGTTAACTTCATCTAATTCCCATAAGATATATTTTGTCAGGGTTTTCTTCTTTGGTGGGAAATGGTACTTTAGAGTAGACCTGATCTGCTTTTTGCTGAGACCACTAATTGTTGTGTTTGCCAACACCAGACAAAATTGCATGCCCTGATGATAAACACCTTCAACATGGCTACTTTTAAAAGTCAGGGAACCCAAGGAGTAGCAAGTAGCCAGCAGCACTGCCTGCTTGGTGGAAGCTTCTTTCATGAAGGGCTGTCCATGGGATTACAGACAATGAGGTGACACAATCTCCAGAGAGCCAATAATCCAGGAAAGCATGGGCAATTTGAAAAAGTCTGCGTCAAAGAATCTGCAGAGGATGACCAGAACCCTGAGCCTATTTGCATCAACCCCTCAGCAAGCTTCTACCAGAAATTTAACCCCCTGTTGAGCACGTAACCTTCCATTAAATCAGAATGCTCTGGAGGTTGCCCTGGCTTCTGGGTGACAAGGGATAGAAAAGTTCCCCGACTTCACATTCACAAACCAGTAGATTTCTGCCACACTCTTTGGAGACCAGAGTTCCACCTGCCAAGAGGCGCAGCCAGGAAAAGAGAAAATCCACACCATACTAGGAAAGCTGCCCAAGAGGCAGATGCCCTATTTGAGTTTGAATAATCCTCCACAGAAGGAATGCAGCCAATCTGGAAACCTGTTTTAAAACAAACCACAGGGAAAAAGCAGAGGGAAGCAAAGAAAGAGACAAGAGGGAGATGTAAACGCTTTCCAATGAAAGTGGAGCATGAGGGGCAAAGACCCAAAGCAATCTGACGCAGTGTTTACATATTTCCACTCTCGCCGTCCCAAGTCCTGAATCGCCCACACAGACTGAGCAAGTGTTAGGAGCCTTCCCCGATAGGCCGGAAATAAAACTCTTAGGCAGATTTAACTTGATCAGGTAACTCCTTCAGATATGCTTCTTTTGACCAAAAACAAAGGAATTGTTTAGTAAACCATGGGTGATGAATATAACTGAATACTATACAATCAATAATATGAATATAAATCATGTCAAAACATAAAAATACAAAGTTAAGTTGAAAAAAGTAGCAGATGGAATGGTATGCATATGCTATGATCCCAACTTGATGAAAAGTCTTATCCATACGGGGATAAGAGCAAGAAGGAAACATGCAAAACAGAAAATAGCTTCTGTATCAGGCTCGAAGTGTCACCATATCCCAGGGAGAAGAGAACAAGGGAAGTTCTTCTAAGAAACTTCCAATATGGCACCTCTTGAAAACAGAGTTGTAGATGGAAATAATTGTAGGCAGTAGCAGTCAATGCAGACAGAGCACTGACAACTGCCAGAGCCACCTCCCCACGTGATGTCACCTACTTCTAGAGACAGGAGACAATCAACACATAAGTGCCTATCACTCAGGAAAATCAGAGACATTTTTGCAAATGCATTGCTATTGGAAAGCACAGTGATTCATTCTCCTTACTGGTAGTGGGAGTGTTCTCTGAGTGGTCAGACACCCAGGGACTGCCTTGGTCTTGGGTGGGGCGTGTGGTGGGAAGGTGGGTGTGGAAGATGCTGTAACCTCCTGAAGTGCTTCTTTCACTGGAGGATCCACTGCTCACGTCCTCGTCAGCCTGGGTGCTGGGGTTGATGTCTTCAGGGTTAGTTCTGTACTCGCCCTTCTTGCTGTAGCGGGTGCCATCACGGTTCACAATAGCTGGGAGAGAGAGAAGGCACTTTCAGAACAGGACAGCTGACATTCCCAGAGTACAGGGAAGACTGGAATATCATAGAAGACAGTGACTTCAAAGCTATCTTTTCTTTTTTGTTAAGAAAAACACACCTAACTACCTATCTAGTGGGGGACAGAGTGGCTGAGGCACTAAGAAAGTGCACCCTCCTCCACCCCCGCAACACACGCTGGAAACGGGGAGGGGAAAGAGGATGTGTTTGGGAGTCTCCATGTTTGCATCCCAGCTTCGTGTGGCTCTAGACAAGGTAGCTCACTGAGCTTCAGTTTCGTCATTTGTAGACGGGGACAATACTACTTTCTGTTATGAGCACTATATGATACCTTGTAAAGTGCTTAGCATAGTATTCAAAACATAGTTGGTGCTCAACAAATGGAAATTCTCCCGCCTGGTCCCTACTCTCCCTTCTGAAGTACATGTAAAATTTGTTGCTATTAATTCCATCTGTTTCCAGAAAGGATCTGAAGTAGAAGACAGAAAGCAGTCTTGGCAGGAAGACACAGTGGTAAAGCCATGAAGAATTAGACGTTCTTTGTAGGGAGCAAATTTTGTCAGTTTAGGCGAATCCTTACTTCTGGCTAGGAAATCAGAATGCTTAAATATTGACAGAGCCTCTGCCATCCTCTGTGAAATTCAGCCTTGAAATTAACAAGCATGGATGTATAGAAAGATCAAAATCTTCGGTTTAAACAAGCAAATGACTAGAATAGACAAGAGGGGAAAAAGCCAGAAGGAATTTGTTTGTTGTTCCTTCCTAAAAGTATTTGCTGCCTTCATGTCTGGCCACTCACTACGTAAGTGTGCATTTAGCTGAAATTATTTTCCGCTGTATTGTCTTGGTAAGACTAAAGATTCCTTTTGTCTACCTATATAGCTTGCTGAAGTGCAACTATTAACAAAACATAAATTAAAAAACAAAGTCCCAGTCATCCTGATAATCACTGCAAATGAGATCTGATAAGGGAATACGACCAAACTTGTATAAGTCTGGACGTCAGAAGAGATCTGTGGGGACCACAGAAGTGGAGGATTTATTGAGCAGCTATAGACATATTATTGTTCTGAATTTCCACGACAATTCTCAGATGTTGTTCCACTACCCAGATGAGAAAACAGAGGCTCAGAAAGAGTAAGTCATTCCTCTAAGATTCAAATCAGACCTCACTGAAACAGCACATCTCACACTGCAGGCCTCTCCTCCCTTTTGCAAGGGATAGGCCAGGGACAATTCCTTACATAACACTGCGGGCTGGATGTGTGTGGTCTGGGCAGATTCTCGTCCCCCTGCCACCGCCACCACCTATGCACACTGAGAGGTCTGTTCTCAGGAGGCGGAAGGCAGGCCTCCTCAATACCGTGCTACTTCTCAGAGAAACGAGGCTCAGGGGCAATGAGATTGGGGCTAAGAGGCTGAGCTGTTTGAAAGTTCTGCTTGAGATATTCTGTTTTCTACAGTGCTGATACCTACCTCTGTGGATGATCGGCACGATTTCAGGTGGACGTGGTATAAAAATGTTGAAACATATATCAGGAAGTTTATACTCTTCAAAACTATCTTTCAATACTTCAGTTAAATCAAATGGAAAATTTGGTGGGCTGGAATGCCCCTACCAACACTTATGAATCTCCTTCTATTAGAGCCTTCAGCAGGTAGAATTTAAGGACATTATTGAATACTTCTTGCATTTAAATTTATTTTTAAGGTTATCTACTACTTATGACAAGGGATGCTCTTTTTCCATTTGCAGTTTCTTTTTTTAAAATAAACGTATTTTGAGTAGAAAAGAATGGGTCACTTAACCGAAAAATATCAAGTAAATGATAGTGCTGTGTACAGAGATATGCCCCCAAAAATGTGAAAATTGTTTTCAAATGACTGAAGTTGGAGGAACAATGTGTTAGGGTAAACCAGAGAGCTGTTTCAAGCCATCGAGGGAAAGGGGGAGAAACACTGAGCTGTAGCCCACCATCCCTAGCCTTAGGGAAGTAACATTCAATATTCATTCAAATATAAAACAGAAAATGCACCTGATCCCTTTCCCAAGCACAGGGAAACTCAGTCAAGGTGAGAAGAGATACGTACTTATGGTAATGGGTCCTTCAAAGGCGTTGGGCAGGTCTGTGACTGATGAGCAGTCTTCTTCTCCGGGTGGAGCTATGGGGTAGAAAAGAAAAAAAGGCATGAGATGTCTTAAAAAAATATGAGCAGGGCCGGCCCGTGGCTTAGCGGTTAAGTGCGCGCGCTCCGCTGCTGGCGGCCCGGGTTCGGATCCCGGGCGCGCACCGACGCACTGCTTCTCCGGCCATGCTGAGGCCGTGTCCCACATGCAGCAACTGGAAGGATGTGCAGCTATGACATACAACTATCTACTGGGGCTTTGGGAGAAAATAAATAAATAAATAAAATCTTTAAAAAAAAAAAAAATATGAGCAAAATCATGTCTATTAGTTAGCTAGGACTTATATATCCCAAACTTATAACTTATCCCAACTAATTTTCTTTTTCTGAAACTTGGTTAAGTCTTCTAGGAACTTCTTTGATCTTTGTGATGCATTTTCCATATTTATTTAGCTTCATATATTTCTGGAAGCCTACTTGTTCCCCTACTCACCCCAACAAATTCATTCGTTAACAAACACACGTGTTCTATATCAGGCCTTATAGAAGGCTGGGGGCACAATGGTGAATAAGATAGACAGTCCTTCTCTAACGAAGCATACATTAGAAATTATCTTTTTCATTTGTTATTGTAAAAGTAACGTGGGAACATTGTAAAACCGTTTTAAAATAAAGAAATGTATGAACTATAATGAGAAAATCATGTGTAATCCTAATAACCTACAGAAATGATGGAAAAACATGGCAGACTAATACAATCAAATGTTTACCAACATGAACAGCATGAGAATCTGAAGATTAATATAAAATAATCCACAAAAAATTTACTTGATAGAAATATTTAAAAACAAACTTATCTTAGTCTTTTTATTAATGTAACAATTAATTTATTAACTTTAATCTATTTAGATGCCTACTTTGTATAAGCTGCTTCTCAGCATGTAGTCTCCGAGGGCCTTGGCACCCAGAATATCTCCTGAGACTGCTGTTTCAGCATATCTCACTATGGGCACCTCTGGCTTCTTTCTCTTTTGTCTTTCATTTATCTTTTACTTTGCCCCCTTCTTCAGGAATAGATTTCTGACTGTGCCCTGGGCCTGCCTGGTCACTCACAGGCATTCCTAGTAGCCCTCAGAGTAACACTGTGTAAAGCCTCTGAAAACAGATCCTGAAAGTTCCACCCCGCATGCCATCCCTTGAGTCCTAAAAGAAAACTGCAGAACGTCTTAGACAACTGTTTCATTTGTGCCCAAACACCCTATTAGGTAACTAGACCTTGTGTTGAGTTCTAAAAACTCAAAGAGCTTGAAATTGGCTTTGCTGTTCTAGGAAGGTTGGATCCATTTGTGCATTATAGCTTTTATACTGTGTGTGTGTGTGTGTGTGTGTGTGTGTGTGTGTGAGTTTTAATGTAAAACGGAAATTTGTTAGTTTGGTTTCTCCAGAGTTGCTTCTTGGCAAAGAGGAAGGAAGAAAGGAATGGATGGATAGATGGACGGATGGATGGATGGAGGCAGGCAGGCAGGCAGCCTGCTATCACAAGTAAGGCTGTTGTCACAAGTATCTTAAGTGTCCTGCCATAACACTGGACAAAAACACAAGTTGAACAAAACAGGTTTTGGTTGCGTCCAAGTTCCTAGGAGCATCTTTTCCCACAGATAAAGGGGATGTCCTTTACAGGCCTATTTCTTTGGCCTCATAGTGAAACTAACTGGCAGCTTTATATTCAACTAGAGAAAAGCAGGGTGTTAGGAAAAGCCATTCTTGCAAAGCCTGATTAAAATATTTCTCAGAAGAGAGACTCTTCAAAGAGAAAGTCACCTCCTTGGTAAGGCCATTCCTCACCATCCGATCTAAACCAGCCCCACACCACACCCCCACACCCATCACCATCACATATGACCCTGCTCTCATTTCTTCTTCAGGCTTACCTCTATCTAAAATTATCTTGTTCATTTTACCTGACGGCTGTTCATGGCACATCTCCCAACCCCTACCCCCTGCTACCCACCCACCTCTATAGAAATACGTAAGCTCCATAAGATGAGTTGTAACCTTATCTGTCTTGGCCAGAAGACAGATATATGTGGCCATCACCATTTATGTGTGATGGAAACAGAGAGACACAATAAATATTTGTTGAATGAATGAAAAAGGAAAAAAGTAACAATATAATTTTTCAAGGGTCCATTCTTCCTGTAAACACACCTAAGATGTTAACCCCCCAAATGATCTGGAAATATAAACAGGTCAAGAAGCAATTAGATAAACTGAATGGCAATGCCATAAGAAATAATAAAAGGAAGTTTGATACATCAGTTCATTTATTCATTTTAAGCATTTACTCAACACATGCTAGATCACATAATAAAAAAGGAGCAAAAATATGAATACGTTCCTGCCTCTGCTTTTGAGGAATTCACAACGTCATGGGGGCAATAATAATTAATATTTCTTTTGGTTTTTACAGTTAAAAAAAAAATTTTTTCCCACTGATTTCCTCATTTGAAAATCAGGGCATACAGCCAATCTGGGAGATCTTGATGAATAGCTACTCTGTCTGTCTCGGGGACACCACCAGAAACTGACCTGATCGTGAGATGCTTCTGATATTGTTATGTTGCACAGACCCAGAAACGGGCCTTATTATTGCTTCTTAATTGCAGGGATGAAATAATCTCCCCCAAACTCAAACACAACTGCAGGTAACAGTAGTGCACTGGGAAGTTCCAGGAGCTAAGTTGTAACAGAATGGGGCATGATGCCAAAAACACAAAGTTTTGTAAATGATTAGAGCATTTGTTCAAATGGACCCCCTTCATGCTCCAATTCACCTTAACCTTATGAAGAACATCAAATCTGGCAAGCATACTAAGATGGATGGTGACCTAAATGTGCAATTAATACACTCATGCTCCCATGTCAGAGAGCAGAGCCTCATTAGACAGTGTTTCAGTTCATTTAACGAGCTCAGCACTGCCGGGAGAATCAAGCCTGGTGAGGTTTTCCTGAACTCACGGATTTGTTAGAAAGATTCTGAGGTGGGCTTCCCAGTGGGCTATATTCTCGGCTCCACTGCACCAAAATAGCCAAAAGAAACTAACTCTTCAGTCTAGCCAATCACTGGTGCCAAATAGAAAGGCACCTTCTTAAATGCCTAAGACATGCTAGATAGCCAATAAATATTTGTTGAATAAAATACTGAATGAATAAACTAATGAATGTAGACTCTTCCCCTAAATCGTACCTGCAGAAGAGAATGAAGCACTGAAAGCAAACAAAAATGAACTAAGTCACGTCAGCTCTCTGTGTGGTGAACACAGAAGTCACAGGCTTGCACTGAGCCCTACTGCCAAGGGATAAGGCAGTCAACCTCAAGAAGCCTTCTCAGGGTCTGCTTTATGTTTATTTGTAAACCCCAGGCTGTGTTTTACAAAAATACTCCTGAAACTGTATGCATCCAAAGCTATCTGCTAAGATCGAGCTGGCTTTGGTCCCAGTGGTCAGTCTGTGGGGGAACCCGACCACCTGCTTGTAGTTCTCAGGCTAAGCCAGGTTCAAGGATCTTTCCAATGAGAGCCTTTGCGTGAAGCAGATGGTATCAACATCTGTGTCTCACTCAATACCCCATCATCTGACTCTAAACCAAGGTACCTAGAATTTGTTTATCCTTAGATACAGGTTCTTCTCCAGCTCCTTCATTTTTTGTCTTATTGCTTTAACAAGACTGTTAACTCCCAAGACAAGAAATACGGCCTCCAGTTCTTTCTCGCCCCACTCTGCCCAGCACAGTACTGAGTGCACATAACTGATCAATAAATACTCTCGTTAAAACTTAAAGAAAAACTTATAAAAGCAGCCTATCCACATTGAGCAAATTTGGAAAAGGGAAAAGGAAAAACATCACTTTGAACTTTCTACTTGAATACAGCCATTTTGGTATGCGATACACCCCCCGGGACTTCTCAAACTTATCAACTGAACTAACCTCCCCAGAGAAGAGGAAAGTTAATTAGTACTGTTCACTCCCTTCTCTGAGGATAGGCCCAACCTTATGGGCAAAAATAAGGGCGGGCAGAAAAGTCCCAGTAGTGACTTGCCTAGATGGTGTCAACTCCAGGCAATAAAACAGTGTGAGCTTCTACCTTTGAGAGCTAAGCTTCTTTCCAGCAACTGATACCAATTTGTAAAACAGGTGAGACAATGCAGATACACAACAACATAATTTATTGCCTACATTCACTCGACAAGATTCAGCTGGAGACGCAACAGCCAGTACCTGGAGACACTCAACAGCATGTCGTCTCGAGCTAGCCCTTTCCCACGTGACCAACACTTTCATCTAAAGCACAAAGTCTTCCTTGACCTCTGGCACTGAGAGGAGCTGGCTAGACCATATGTTGCTCTGAGTCTATTTCCTGTTTATTTGCATTTAGTTTTTCTCATTGTCATGTCATTAGAATGGACATCCTGGGTGTGGGTATCGGCCATGTACTGTTTAGCCTCAGTTAGACTCTCCTCCTTTTGGTCAAACGCCATTTGTGTTCTTCGCTCATATGACAGGGAGGAGCAAACATTCTGCAGTCTTCTCCTTCTTGTTTTGAGTGTCCCTCCATAGGTTTGGTGTCCTGTATATATTTGACATAATTTACTGGCTTCACACACTCCATTCCAACTAGCCAGCCCTGACACTTCTCTTTCTCCTAAACTCTAGATTTCCCCTCTGAATTCCCACTCTGATCTCTACTGCTCATGCAATAGTAGGTGGATGCCATAGCCTAAAGCTACTGATGTAACCTCAACATTTTTTGGATGTCCCTACTTTAGCTTAAAAACTCATGCAGATTTTATGTTCTACTACCATATATAATAACTACTTGTCTCATAAAAACAATGCCTTAAGCCATCATATAATCATATCTGTTTGTCTCATACAGATAATGTCTTGAATCACTTTCCAGCTAATTTTACATCCCTGTCCCATCTTGAAGGAAAAATGACATGCCAGGAAGACGTGTCAAGTTTACCTTGTGGCTTCATTTTCCCCTTCACACAATCTCAAACCTTTAGGGGGAACAGAAGGCCCAGTTTGAAAAGTAAAATATTTGATTGTTGGCATCCAAAAATTTGACATTCATGGGTTCGACCTTTCTCAAAAGACCCTGAAGATTCATGATGCATAGAATTCTTTAATTTTACTGAATTAGACTAGTAGTCATGAGTTTCTAGGCTAGTGGTTGGAAGCAAGTCCCAAAGACAGGGAAGGGGCCTGGCCAGCAGCCCTGCATGCACATAATTACTTGGCTTTCTTATTCTCCAATTATGGGGTTCTCAGTTGTTGGGGAAGGACACTCAAGAAGGTCAAAGGCCTCTGAGCCTTCTCTCTGGCCCCAACATATAATAAACACCTCGAAGCTAAGCCATTGGCTTGTGCCCCAATGCTTTCAGTAGATTCATGTCACTCCTCTATTCAAACCCTTCAATAACTTCCCATCACACTGAGAATAAAATCCGAACTCTACCGCGGCCTACAAGGCCCTGCGTGATCTGGCCCCTGCTTACCTCTCTGACTCCATTCCTTGGCATTCTCCCCTCTGATCACTGGGCTTCGTCCACCCCAGCCTCCCTGCTGTCCTCAGAACAGGACACGATGCTCCACATGCCCACTCTGCCCATGGCTTTCCTCCCTCCCTTCAATCAGGTCTCTCCTAAATGAGCCTCCTCAGAGGCACTTTCCCTGACCATCTTCTCAGAGAAAAAGGCATCCCTAGTACCTTGTAGCCTCTTGCTCTGCTTTCTTTTTTACAGCGCTTGTCACCCTCTGATTTCATATAAAATATCTAATATTTATTTGTTTACTGTTGGCCTCCCCAACTTAGCAGGGAAGCACCCTGGAGGCAGGAGTCTTGTCTCTGCTGTAGAGGTATTCAGGGAACATCTGTTACGTGAATGGAAGCTACACGAATCTCCCTTGAAGCCCAGACTGAACAGCTGTCAGCCATGCTGCCGAAGGCTTACACGCCAGAAGCAACCCCAAATGCAGAGACCATCCACTTAGAACCAACCTGAAGCGTTGAAGCAGTAGGTGTCGTACTGGGAGGTGTTGGACGTGAGGATGTAGACCCCTGTGTTGTTTGCTGCACAGATGGAGTTGGGGTGGATCCGGGGGATCACCACGTGCCCTTCTATGAACCCGTACCTGCAAAAGGAAAAGCAGCGGTTACCCCCCTGCCAGGCTGTGACAGGGATTTCATAACGTCCCATCAAATGACGCCCCACACAGGGCAACGTTCATTCAGTTCACCCCCAGGGCTATTAGAGCTTTCAACAACTGAGTTACATGAAATCCAGAAATAACAGCGGACAGAGAGCGAAAGGGATCAACAAGGCTAACAGAGACAAAGTCATTTTATTTGGAGTTCTACAAAGAACTTTTTAAAAAAAATAGATTCATGAAAGAAAAAATTAGTTTCAAATAAAATTTGTGATCCAGTCTCAGGTCAGTGTGAGCAAGCAGAGGGAAGCCTGCGTCACAGAAAACAGAAGAATGACCACTTGATCTTGTGAGATTAACTGTGGCCCTGCATCACCTTTGTATTTTTCAGAAAATGCAGAAAGTGACCAGCTCCCATAAGCCAGGAAGGGGGCTCTTCATTTCAGTCTGCAAATGTCAAACCTGCCTGACTTCTCATCCCTGCCCTTCTTTCCCGGCCTCATCTTTTCCTGTGATTCCCTCACTCCAGACTCCAGTACTCTAAACTCAACTCCCTGTTTATATGCCAGAGACAGGCGCATTTTGCCTCATGAGCATCCCAGGCATAATTCCATTGCCAGTGGTAGTCGATTGACTGTCATTAAAATGGGAGTAATAGTGATTGAGTAGATAGCAATGCAACATTAGACAAAATGTGCAAGTAGACAATACACAGCACCCAGCCCCTTCTATCAGCGTCATGGTGGCTAAATTCTCACTCACTGCACAATTTCTCCCGAATATAAAATTAGATGTGGGCTGAGGAAATACCATTTGCAAGGGATGACGTGGTGGCAGAGGAAGGGCAGAGAGGGAGAAGGTAAATCCAGCAAGTTTTTGAAAATGCAGAGCTGGCTAAAATGCACAGCGTAGATCTTTTTCATCTTTCTGCCAGGGGCAACAGCTCACAGTGCATTGTCCTACAAGATCCATGGAAATGGCTGTGAGTTTGAAATTTCTGAGCATACAAAATTCATTAGGTCTATGTCGCAACTATAGCTTGCATGACTAACATCATCTGCACGGACAGACTGGTTTCTCCAAGGACTCCTTAGCTTGGTCTTAGCGGTGGGGGATGCAATTAAACGTTAATAACTTTCCAGATATCTGAGAATTGCTACTAATCAGGGTGGGGCAGACTGAAGAGAGTAGCTGCTCAGGGTTAATGGCAGCTTATGAGACTGCCGTCTGTCCTACAGCGGATATCTGATTCACAGCTGCCTCAGTGAAATGAAGCAAATGAGTTTTGCAACACTTAAAACCAGCTATGGGTGGAACAATAGATTTCTTTGGCACAGTTTTTCTTTTCTTTTTTTAAAAAAAATAATAATACTCCTTGGCGAGCCTACTCCCCGCCCCACCCCCATCACAGTCAGCAAGTCTGTATAACACTGACATTCTAGAATCTACATTCCCTTTGTAAATTATTCCTGAGATTTTGCCACATCACGTTGACCGCCAGTTCTGTGTGTCACACTGTACACGAGTTGGGGATATTAAAATTGATATGTGTGTATACCGCACGAGGAAGCTGCTGTTCATGAGGAGAAAAGAAATACTCAGCAAATCCATGCGGAATACGCCCACCTCTCTCTTGCTCTCAGTCCTTCTGGAGGCCTTGGTCATTAAACTCTTGCCCTGGCCTCAGATGAAACAGGCCTGAACGGCGGACTCCTCCCTGTGCAAGCAATGTGGCCCAAGGCAAGCTGCAGGACCTCTCCAAGCCTCAGCTGCTTCTACCATAAGGTGGAGGGATATAACGGCCCCCGGGACAGTCTGAGGATTCAGCGAGGGGATGTGGACCAGTGATATAACGGCCCCCGGG